TTAATATTTTCCCTTATTATTTCTTTTTTTAATCTCAAAAACAGCTTTCCCCATGTGCAACTACACCAAGCTTTTATTTATATATGGCTTAACTCCATGGATGGCAAAATTGTAGGAGAAGATTTTTCAGGCATTTTATACTTATAATCCAACTGGAATGTACTTTGTTGTGTGGATATCAGAATGATGTCTGCAGTGGATCTCTGGAATTCACCCAGGTCAAATTATTTAATCAGGAGCTTTTTTCCTGAAACCTTGATCTCAGAGCATCTCATCCCCACTAGTCAGGGCCAGCTGGGTATCATGACCTGAATTTTCCACAGAATGCAGTTGGGAAGCCATCTTTGATACTAGCCTAGCAAAGAGCCTCTGTCTTCATCTTCATCCTAGCATCAGCCCATTCACAAGATAGGGTCAGTACTTACAAAACTTAGTCCAGCATGATTCACACACAGTCACCTGAGGCCAGTAGAACTCCTGCCAGATCTCACTAAACAACTTTGATTCAAAAAAAAAAAAAGGCAGTCAATAGCTCTAACACTACTCTAATATAGTTAGTTATTATTCCTCAAGGGTTCATACCTATTATCATGAAAGTTAGACATGGGTCCAAGTCTATTCCACAAGGCCCTCATTTGGACCAGCAGGCCACCAGGCCACGTTCTTTTAATGACACTAGCAGAAGCCAAGACAACAAGCCCTGCCACATAATCATGTTTCAGAACTTTGCTTACATCACCTCTGCTGCCATCCAAGGCAAATCACATGGCCAAACTCAACTTAGTGGGATGGGAAAGTGTATTCTGCCCACAGGACAGAATATTTGATGAACAATCATCTAAACTAATGGACCTAGCTTTCACTGTACTCCAAAAGCTTGAAGATCATAGTAATGAAAGATACATCTCAATTCCAGCTATGAGAAACAATTTTTAAGGAATGTAACAAGAATGGAAGCCGTAAGTGATTTTCTTTGGCTCACATCAAAAGTCACAAACAGGGCTGGAAGCAGTGGTTTATGCCTGTAATCCCAGCACTTTGGGAGGCCAAGGCAGGCAGATCACGAGGTCAAGAGCATCCTGGCCAACATGGTGAAACCCTGTCTCTACTAAAAATACAAAAATTAGCTGGACATGGTGATGCGCACCTGTAGTCCCAGCTACTCGGGAGGCTGAGGCAGGAGAATTGCTTGAACCCAGGAGGCGGAGGTTGCAGTGAGCTGAGGTCAAGCCACTGCATTCCAGCCTGATGACAGAGCAAGACTCTGTCTCCAAAAAAAAAAAAAAAAAGAAAAAAGAAAAAAAAATTAGCCAGACAGTGGCACACACCTGTAGGTACTCTGAAGGCTGAGACGAGAGAATTACTTGAACCCAGGAGTCTGAGGTTACAGTGATCTATGATTGTGCCATTGTACTTTACAGCCTGGTGACAGAGCAAGATCCTGTCTCAAAACAAAACAGAAACAAAAAGTCACAAATAAAGGTGGAATAAACCTCAGTCTCAAGTTCTTCTCCAGGACCCTATTACTCCATGATATAAAAAGGTTAACTAAGCAACCCCCAATACCTCTGGCAATTTCATTATGTACTCCATGGCCAAGACCACTCTTTTGTGGTTTTGGGGGAGGGTTGTTTGTTTGTTTTTAGTTAATAAAAGATGAGTATTGTTAAAGGGTCATGATTAAGAGAACTGGGTTTTGATTCCAGCTCCACCTACCACGGTGTTGTTGGGCAAATTCTCACCTTCACTGAACCTAGGTTTTTTTCATTTGTAAAATGTTGATAACTCCTCGGGATTTGTGAAGATTAAAAGGAGATGTTTGTGAAATGCTTAGAGCATAAAGACTACACAATTAGGAGTTTAAAAATAATTTCTTCCCCCACTTCAAAGCTAGGCATGATCGCTCCCTCCACTGAGCTCCTAGGGCACTTACTCAATTCAATTAAGCACTGAGATATTTTAGGAATCATGAGCTCACTTCTTTATATAGGCCAGGCAGGTATCATGAAAATGTTAAGAAAGCTGTAGCTTCTTTCATATTGGTGCCTTATTTTGCATTTTTTCTGACAGACCCATACGTTGCATGTTAAAAGATGTAGGAATATGCTTCTCTGCACAAAGTAGCATTTTCTCCAGAGGTTATATTCAAAATATTTAACAACTGGCCTTCAGCCTGAGCTCCACAGTTGGATGCCTCCTGGCTGTAGTGCTGGAGCCAGGTGCTGCTGGACTGGGGACAGGGAGAGGATAGACTGAAGTGAGTGCTCAGGGGAGCAGGGCAGTGCCCAGGGACTTGGGCAGTGGTCATTTCCAAACCAACATGGAAGTATTTTTTACCACAATATGCCAGATGAATATAAGCCTTAGTTCAAAAAAAAAAAAAAAGTCTTCTTGGCCTATCCTTTGTTTTCCTGGGATTTTTCTTTTTCTTTCTTTTTCTTTTTTTTTTGACAAAGTCTCACTCTGTCATTCCCAGCTAGAGTACAGTGCCTCCTGTGATCTCAGCTCACTGCAACCTCTGCCTTCCAGGCTCAAGTAATTCTCCTGTCTCAGCCTCCCGAGTAGCTGTAATTACAGGTGCACACCACCACACTGGGTAATTTTTGTATTTTTAGTAGAGACAGGATTTCACCATGTTGCCCTGGCTGATCTTGAACTCCTAACCCCAAATGATTCACCTGCCTCAGCCTCTGAAGTGCTGGGATTATAGGCATCGGCCACTGTGCCCAGTCTGTTTTCCTGTTTTTGATAGAGACATGAGTAGAAAGAAATCATAGTCTTCTATAAGCTCATGCCCCCGTCAACAGCAGGCAGCCTTCATTCAGCAGCAGCCAAATGTCATCTTGTGTCAATTAGAACTTCCAGTTTTCTTAAGAGAGGCCAGAAATGCAAATTTTTATTGAATTTTTAGTGTCAGCATAATGATTTTTAAATCTCTATGCAGGCCAAACACAGTGGCCTCTGGCCTATTGAATGTATACTATATTCCACCAAGCATTGCAAAAGTTCATAGATGTGAATTCTGCCCTGAAGGGACTTGATCATCTGCTGGACAGGCAAACAAACAAATAAAAGTTAATTTTATGGTTGGATGGTGCATGTGATGAACTACTCAGTTTAACTAGTAACTTTATCTTGAGTTTATGTCTTATCATTGGACCAGATTAAACTCTTTTTAGAGTAAAGATTCTATGCTATCTATACTTGTCCTCAGCACCGACTACCTTGCCCATAAGGTTTTGATTGATTTGTGGTCCTCATGATCTCTTGCTTAGCCTGTATATAATTAAATGAACATATGACAACCTTGATGGTGCAGCCATTTCAATTAAGTTATCATCTCTCTGTATAATCAATCTTACAATAAGTACCTTGCAGACAGTAGGCAAGGAATAAAGCCTCCTGGAATTGAACCAACCTGATCTTGTTATGTAGTAGTTGATTAAAGACACAGGCTACATGCAAGAACAGAGCAGAAGGAAATGTAAAAATGCAGGCACTTCCTTCTGAGACCCATATGGGAAATGAAATTTGAGAGACTGCTACGACTGGCACCTTATTCTCAACCTTTATTTATTTTCAGTGCCAAATGGACCTCCTGGTTACTCTCTGAAATCAAGTGAAATACAAAGACAGAGACCAAAATTCAATCTGATTATTTGCTGGAAAACAAAATCTAGCTATAACTTACTACCTTTGGAAAACACGAGAATCCCTAGGAAGTAATCATAGTATCAACAATAAGTAGCTACAAGAAATGAGTTGGCTACAAAATAAAATGAAACAGCCAGGTGTGGTGGCTCATCCCTGTAATCGCAGCACTTTGGGAGGCCAAGGCGGGTGGATCACTTGAGGTCAGGAGTTCGAGACCAACCTGACCAACATGGCAAAACCCCGTCTCTACTAAAAATACAAAAAAAAAAAAAAAAATTAGCCTGGCATGGAGGCAGGTGCCTAAAATCCAAGCTACTCAGAAGGCTGAGGCAGGAGAATTACTTGAACCTAGGAGGTGGAGGTTACAGTGAGTGGGGATTATGCCACTGCACTCCAACCTGGGTGACAGAGCAAGATTGTGTTTCAGAAAAAAACAGAATAAGAAAATCTTAAAACTGGAAGAATTCATCCATGTAAATAAAGCATCAAAACAACATTTTTCCTCTATTGTTTGGCAAGATTATTTAGTTTTACTATATAGTTCAATCAAATAAATATTTATCATGTCTTTCCATCAAGGCTATATTTTTAACTGATTCTCTCATTCAAAGAAAAAATTCATAAGTGCTCAAAACAACATTTTCTTTATTATTATTAATTTTTTTGAGATGGAGTCTCACTCTGTTGCCCAGGCTGGAGTGCAGTGGCATGATGTTGGTTCATTGAAACCTCTGACCCTGGGTTCAAGCGAGTCTTCTGCCTCAGCCTCCCAACTAGCTGGGATTACAAGCACCTTCCACCACACCTGGCTAACTTTGTATTTTTTATAGAGACGGGTTTCACCATCTTGGCCAGGCTGGCCTTGAACTCCTGCTTTTGTGATCCACCTCCCTTGGCCTCACAGAGTGCTGAGATTACAGGCATGAGCCACTGCACCTGGCCTCAACATTTCCTTTCTCATCCCTTTTCACTTTCCTCAACCGTTATATTCCTAAGTGTAATTCCTATTAGTAATTTAGTTCATCTCCTGCCAGGTCTTTTCTCTGCTCACTCAAAATCTGTATATGTTTTTGCATATGGCTCTTTTTCCCCAAGTACATTGGACTTACACTCTGTATTATTCTGCAGCTTAACTTTTTTCTTCCTGTTCAGTCAGTTTACATGTTAATCTGTCTCAGTCTCCTTTGGGACCACATATTATTTTGTAGTATTAATAATACCATACATTGTTCTAACAATACCTCAATTGAGAATTCTTAATGTTGTCTCCAATGTTTTACCATAACAAACAGTGCTGCAGTAAATGTCACCAGTTTAAATTTTAACTTACTTTTTTATTTTAACAGGACTGTGGAAATTGAAGTCATTGCAGAGTTTGGATCTGTCATTTAATGGGATATTGCAAATTGGGTGGTCTGATTTTCAGAATTGCCTGCAACTGGAGAATCTCTATTTAAAGAGCAACAAGATATTCAAAATTCACCCACAAGCCTTCAAGGACCTCAAAAAATTACAGGTTCCAAAATCATTTTATAATACTCAAATATGCAGATACATGGGCAATTATATTAGAAGTGTATTTCCATTGAAGAGTTTCTTCATGTCCAGTAGTACTGGCTATTAATCAAAAACTGTTAGTCTATTTTAAGATACCTTAAAAGAGCTGAAGTCTCTTCCTTGCCTCAGAAATCAAAGGCCACAATAAGGGACATGAATTTCACTCCAACATAATACTCAACAGCAAGAATTGACACATTATTTTTCTAAATCAAATTAAATCCAACTCCAAATTTCCACTTAGCAGTTGGCAAGAAATTAAAACTTAGTTATTAGTGAGGCTGTCTCCCTAAGCTACAAGATTGGTCAAAGGTCTCAGAGTCATGCAATTTGGAATGCCTGAGAAGGCTGATGCTAAAATGTCAATGACCCAGGACTAGATGGGCCTCTGAAAGCCAGTGACCCTGTTGCTTCCATGTCAAAATTGGACACGAAATAATAAAAATGATAACGATAATATTTTCACACTTCTATAGCATGTACCATGTGCCACATGCAGTTCTAAACATCCAACCCATATTGGGGAGATTTATGTCACATTTTGGGTCCATAGTTCCTGTCTCTGGAACATTGCAGTTAATCTTTCAAGGTGCCAACAGCTGTAAGGGTAAAGAACTCCCAGAGCCCTGTTCTAGGTCTGGCAGCTTCAGCCTCTTCTCCTCCAAGCACTTTCCTCCACACCCTTCCCCTTTGGGAGGATGTTGTACAATCTCCTCTCAGTGGTCCTTTAGCAACACCTGAGTGGCCTGCAGTGTGGCACTAAGAGATGGTTTGGAAGAGTCTTTAGTCCTCCATCTCCATAACCTCACCACACTTCTCATTCTTTGTATAGGACAGCATCATTCAATAGAAACATACAACGTGAGCCACACATGCAATTTTAAATGTTCCAGTAGCTAGAGTGGAAAAGTAAAAATAAGCAAGTGAATTTCATATTAGTGATTAAGTATTATTTACCCAATATTATCTTTTACATGTCATCAATATAGAAATTATTAAAGAGATATTTAATATCCCCTTTTTATAGTAAGGCTTCAAAACCTGGTGGCTTTTTCATGCTTACCACACAACCCAATTTGGACCACCCCTGTTTTAATTGCTCGATAGCCATGTGTAAGCTCTTTGAGGACATACAACGTTTCTGTTTGGTTTTCCAGTGCTTAGCATATGCTGGTACCTGTTACATATTTTTAAATACTTGTTAAATGAACAGAAGAATGAATAAGTGGATGATGGACGTGGATAGGTATATTCATTATCTATTGGTGTGGCTATCATATTAAGCAATGTCAACATAGACAACTGAGATTTTCCCAGTGTTCTGCAAAGTGCTATTCAGGCATCTGCAAGATAAGCCTCCAGCTCCCCACTTCCAACCAGAATGGCTCCTGGAGTCCCTCGAGAAGGAAGACAAGGGAAGCAGTGATGGGGAATGTGGCCTTAAGCCAGCTGCCTGCACTTAAACCTAGCCTCTGCCACTTTCCAGCCATACCGTCTTAACACAAGTTATCAAATCTCTGTGTCTCAGTTTTCTCCTTTGAGAAACGGAAATATTTTAGTTCCTTTCAGAGTTTTGTGAGAATTAAGTGTTTTAATACATATACAGTGCTTAGAATAGTGCTTAGAATACAGTAAGCACTTTCTAAATGTAGTCTGTGTATAGAAATTTTAAAGTCACCACTGTCCCCTGCTCCTTTAACATAGAAATCTGCTTATGCCACTTCTTGGTTAAAACACTTCTAAGATTTCACTGCAAGGACCTGACCCCTCCTTTCAAGCCACTCTTCCCTGCACCCCTGCCTCTGTTTTCACCTCAAGCCCTCCCCGCTAACTGGTCCTTTGCCTAGAAGAGCCAACTTCTGTTAAACCTGTCAGTTTTTCTAAAATATTATTTCCTCAGGGAAGCCTTCTCTGGGCCTCCAGATTAAATTAGTTCCCCTTTTATAAACACTTATAACATGCTGCACATTTCCCCTCATTGCACTTATCCCAGCTGAAATTATTTGGTTTTAGGCATGGCTAATTGTTAATGCCTGTGCCCTCAAACCCTTTTACCCTATGGTAAACTCTTTAAAGACATAAAGCTTTTTTAGACAGAAACCTTTAAAGACACAAAGAGCTTTAAAGCTCTTTCTTTTCCAGTGCTTAGCGTATGCCTGGTACCTGACACATATTTTATAATACTTGTTGAATAAACAAAGGAATGAATAAATGGGTGATGGACATAGGTAGGTGTATTAGTTATCTATTGCTCTATAATACATTACTGACAACTTATCAGCTTAAAACCACACACATAGATTATCTCACAATTTCTGTGGGACAGGAATCCAGGCTTACCTGGGGCCTCCACTTAAGGGTCTCTCAAGAGGTTGCAATCAAAATATTGGCCAAGGCTGGAGACTAACCTAAAAGCCCAGCTAGAAAAGGATTCACTTCCAAGTTCACATGGCCATCGGCAGGATTCAGTTCCTTGTGGGCTGCTGGAGGAAGGGCTGAGTTCCTTGCTGGCTGTTGGCCAAAGCCTGCCCTCAGCTCTGTGCCATGTGGGTCTCTCCATAGGGCAGTTCACAACATAGCAGCTTGCTTCAGAGTCACCAAGGGATAGAGTCTGCTACCAAGAACATTACAATTCTTCGTAATGTCATCATGGAAGTGACATTCCATTGCTTTTCATAGCCTGTTGGTTAGAAACAAATCACAGGTCCTGCCTGCATCCAAGAGGAGGAGAGTACTAAAGGGCATGATCACCGAGGAGGCGGGATCATTGGAGACCGTCCTGGAGTCTGCCTGCTACAGTAGTCATGAGGACAGATGAGGAAGTCCACTTAACCTGGTAGTGCTCTCCAGTTCACCACAAACAGGCAGTCAGATTGCCTGGGAACGTCACTTTGTATTTTATATATTCGGTATTTGTAATTTGCCCTTCATCTGTTCTATTTCCTGTGCACTTTTATTGTGCTCTATTAGTTTTGTGCAGCTCACAGGTGATAGATGCCACAGGCAGACTAAAAATCAACCCCAAGAATGTTTTAAATACAGCTGTAATTCTCAATGTACTGAAACTGCCCAGGAATCAGACCATTTCTTCTCCTCTATTATCCCTTCTGCATGTTTGGCAATAACTCTAAAAACTGGTTTTGGAACAGATGAACATATTTGGTACCAAAAAGCTGAATATCAAAATGGATATTGTTTTTCTTCTGGGCAAATAATTTAATACTTGCACTATTCGTGTGTTTTCCTGTGTGGAAATCTTTCAGAAGCCAGATAGATTTTTCAAAGCATAAATTCATCACCATGTTTTGATGGGATGAAATAAGTTTCACTGACATTTCAAATTAGCATTTCTTTTCCTAATCTTATCCCATTCTTCTTAAATGCAGTGATTTGTGAAGCAATATTATATGTGCTTCTCCCAATCTTTCCATAATATATACTCCTTTCAAATGCTGGTAGATGGGTATTTCTTTAGCCAAATTGGACCATTCTGTTTTACTCCTCTCTCAGAAATTGTTCCTCCTGAATCATTTTATTAATTTTCCGTCCTCCCTCCAGTTTTGCTTTTGGTTCCATGATTTGTAATATACTAAGATGGTTGGACAAACAATAAATGCAGACATGCACTAAAAAGCAAACAATTACCTGAAAAACATCAGAATGTTTCAATCTGTTGTCAAGGGATACATAAGAAAGCTACTGATCCTCACCAAGACCAGGCCAAGCTAAGTATTTTTTTCTTTCCAATCCCACAGTCTCCTGCCTCCAATTTTTGGCAACCTTCCTTTGAAAGTCCATACTGCTTGGCTATTCGACAGTGGAAAATTCACCCTTAGTACCCAAGTTCACAAAAACATTCTGATTCTATATGTGATGGTCTCGTTTGTGGCACTGTTTGATTTTTTTCTTCAAATAAGCCCTTTAGGAATTTATATAACCCTAGATGTAAATGCTGATTGTTTCCCCCGGGTGTCTATAAAACAATTGGTCTTGATAACATTCAGCCTTTCCGGCTTTCATTCATTGTCCTCTTTTTTAAAAGCAAGGACTGTATTTTCTTTTTTTATAATTTTCTCTTCTCTTAATAACGACCTGCCCCTCCCCAGACCTCATGAGCCATCTTGATGCCTCAGCCCTCGGTCTCCTCAGCCCAGCCCTTCTTTCACACTAGTGCAGCAGGGCTCAGGCTCCGGGAGGGTACGTTCTGCAGCAGAAGGCACACAGCTGTGAAGCTAGATGAGACCTCAGCTCTACCATTGCATTCCTTCCTTCCTATTGTTCACAGAGCACCTGCTGTGTACCAGGTGCTAGGGTCTATGTGAGATGTACTGTGTGGCATAACCCAGTTTCTTCCTCTGTAGTAAAGGTAAAAATGAGGAAATTGTTAAGGTCAGACGTCATGTATGTAAAGCACCCCGTAGCATGTCTGGGACCAAGCAGGGCTCTGCAAATGGCAGCTAGAGCTCCTGCTAACTGTGCTTTCCCTGCTATGTCATGCTCCTGCCGTGTCCAACATTTACAGATCCTGCTCTCTGTTTCCAGAGACACTGAATCCTTCTTGTTCCCCTTTCCCCTTCTTTTCTGTTCAGACTAGAAAAATTAGTCATACTGCAAGTACTGAAAGCCATGGATGCAGAGAAATGTACTACTACCCTTGAGATCACATTTGATGCAAAAGATCTCTCTTTAAGGTCAGGCGCATACCTGTCATTCCAGCATTTTGGGAGGCCAAGGCATGGGGATTACTTAAGCCCAGGAATTTGAGACCAACTGAGCAACATAGTGAGATATCATCTCCACCAGAAATACATAAATAAGATTTCTGGTCAACCACAATTCTGTGTTCTGTGTCTTCATCATCCAGTATTTTCTGCCACTTTTGAGACTGTAGTACATCTAGAAATGCTTGATCTGGCATCCAATTCTTGATCTTGAAAACATGAGAGTCTAGGTTTTCTTTAACAGTACAAATTACACTCAGGAAAGAAGGAAGAGAAAATGATTAGGCATTGAATATAGGCATGATACTTAAAGCTTTCACATACCTTTAATACTCACAGCAACCCTGGGAGGGAGGCTTATAGAAAGTAAACCATTTGTCAAGACGCGTAAAGTTCTTAGAGGTAGAACAGAGACTTAAAACCCACTATTCCCTGACTTGTAAACCAGTATTAAATTCATATTGCCTCTATAGAGACATAAATAGTATTTTTCTGTAACTCGTTTATTTTATCTCTAAATGTCTTTATCCACAGACGATCCTAAACTCATTTCTTCTCAAACAGTTCATAGACCTCAGCAACAATGCCCTGACCACTATCCTACCAATGATGATCATGGCTCCAGAACTTCCCCATCTGGTGGTTGACTTGGCTGATAATCACTGGCGGTGTGACGATAGCGTGGCAGTCTTTCAAAATTTTATTTCTGAATCCTGGAGGAAAAAGTGGAATGCCATTTGCAACAGGTCTATAGGTAAGTCAGTAAGGTTTCTCTGAAAAAGCTCCATTTGTACTGAAAAATGCACATACAAATTTTAGTCTCATTTGAAGTAATGACAGTCCCCTGACAGCAAAAATGCTGATCTCTGGCATTAGTCAGTCTTGGGCTGTGCCACGGAAGAATTGCTGGGGCCTAATAACTATTTTCCTCAGTTCATCAATTATTTTCTTCATGCGGTCAAAGAAACACAGTTCAATTCACTCAGCATCAGTTGGATTTGGTCAACAGGAGGAATTCCACTAGAAGAGAGTTTTGTTCTGACACACCATACTTTATTCTCAAGAACCATAGACATGCTGTAGGCATTAAACAAGAATGAACACGTGAATAAAATTTAATGTCACAGTTTTATCCCAATTCTTAACAAATAATCTGTTAAAGAACTTTTAAAATCAGAAACGTCATTATTTTAAATGTTTGCTAACACTCTGAAAGTGTGATCTTCTGCATGCACAAAACACACACACACACACACACACACACACATATTACAAAAACATATTTTCCTTTGATTTGCTCCTTACCCCTCTCCCAAAGTGCTGGAATATGTTACTGGGGTTGGATATTCTGGGAAGTTTTTTTTCACTATTAACTACCTTGGCTAAACCTCAACCTTATAACTAGAAAAAAAAAAAAAAGTCCATTAAAAAAAAGTGAGTGCTAGATTCTGTTCTATTCAGGACTGCCTTTCAAGCAGGAACATGGCCATGCCTACCAGGTTTAGAGGAAATCCACGAAGATCAGAGAGAAGTCTTAATGTCATCAGCTGCATTTGTTTCACTCCACAACTGGCATTCTGAGGGTAGAGAGCAGAATGTCAGAAACCAGGAGAAAAAACGGAATATTTCTGCTGTTTACCAGCACTGGACAATGGTGAGGAAATAAAATTGCAAACCTGGGTAGGGCCAAGACAGGTGTTGCAGGAGGCTAGTAGAATGTTCTCGCAAACATGGAGTAGGTAAGACTATGGAGGAAGGAGAAGCCATATTCATGTGGCTGTTCCTCTATTCTGGCTTCTTCCTCCCACAGGCAGCAGTGAGGCAGGAACTCTAAGGAACATGCAACCTCCCGGACCTCTGAGCAGCAGATCGCAGCCTGATAGCCATGTATAAATGCATACGGCCATAGACATACTGTCGGCATTAAACAAGAATGAATAAAATTTTTAAACTGCTTATTATCACATAATGTATACTTTAACGTATATAGCTAGATAAGGACTGAGTAGGACTCACAGAAGCTTCTGAAACCCCTAGAATCTGGAGGTGGGGGCAGTGGCTCACACCTACAGTCCAGCTGTTCAGGAAGCTGAGGGAGGAGAATCGCTTGAGGCCAAGAGTTTGAGACTAGCCTGGGCGACATGGTGACAACCCTTGTCTCTATAAAGTGGAAAAAAAAAAAAAAAAGCAGCCAGGGTGTGGTGGCTCATGCCTGTAGTCCCAGCTACTCTGGAGGCTGAGGTGGGAAGATTGCTTGAGCCGGGAGCCTGAGGCTTCTGTGAGTTATGATCGTGCCACTGCACTCCAACCTGGGTGACAGAGAGAAGCCCCAATCCTGAATAAAGGAAAAACCCCTGGAATCTTATTTCAATGTTCTCTCAATGTGTATTTTTTATCCACTCGCAGGGAGTGAGGAGGCCAATGGGGCAACCCCCGAGAGCAGAATTTCCAGGGAAACCCACCTTCCTTCCATTCATCTGCATAGTGTGAAAAGCCTCATAAGGAGCAAAGCAGAGAGGCCCCGGGGAGAAAGGCACACAGGCGTCTCCACTCTGGGAAAGAAGGCAAGGGCCAGCTCTGGCCTCAGGGAGAAGCAGAGACGGCTGCCAAGAAGTGTTAGTAGCACCCGGGATGTGCAGGCTGCCGGCAGAAAGGAGGATGCTCCCCAGGACCTGGCTCTGGCGGTGTGCCTGTCCGTGTTCATCACATTCCTTGTCGCCTTCTGTCTGGGGGCTTTCACGAGGCCTTATATTGACAGACTGTGGCAACGAAAGTGCCGGAACAAAAATTCTGGCCAGGACAACGGGTATTCAAACGAGGGCTTCTACAACGACATCGAAGCGGCGGGACGCACACCACACCCAGAGACCCAACTGCGCCAAGCACTTTCTGATCTAAGCCTCTTTGAGAACCAGACCCCTTTCTGGGCGACACAGCCACAGCCACAGCCACAGCCACAGACACATGCCACCGTAATTCCTGATAGAACCGCAGGAAGAAGCAGCGAGGATCCTGGCAGTCCGCAGAGCTCAGGACAGTACAGGGACAACACCAGGGCGGGAAGTGGAAATCACGGTCCAGCCTATTCCAATCTCCGGGGACATCCACAGGCCAGAAACCGTGAACTAATGTCAGCAGCACAGGACCACATCCTTAGAAGTGATGTTCTTGGAGAATGCACTTATGAAACTGTGGCCCAGGGAGAGCCTCTCAGTGCACACTCAGTGGGCGTGTCTTCTCTAGTGGGCATGTCACATGCTGTGTCCAGCTCAAACAGGCATGATTTCAGTGATTTAGAGCCGTCCCTCTCCGGAGAAATGATGGCTTCCTTCTGTAAAACGCTACGGCATGCAGAAGCACAGAGGATTGGAGAGAGTAAGGAAAGAGGGCGCACTGAACAGTCACTCTGGGACTCACAGATGGAATCTTCTAAGGAAAAGCCAGTGAGACCGTCCACTGATTTGCTGAGCATACAGCAGCCAAGGCTGTTGCGGGCAAGTGCTGAGGAAGAGCTTTCGGCGCACTACAGCGAGGTCCCACGCAGTGACCCAGGAGACACAGGCCCACCAGTCTTTCCTCTAAGATGGGACGGTGGCCCGGATGTCACTCCTGCTAACGAGGAGCCAGTGCAGAAATCCACTCCTTCTGACACTTGGTGTGTGGTGGAGAGCGACTGTGACTCTGATGAAGGCTCTCTGTTCACTCTGAGCTCCGTAAGTTCAGAGGGTGCAAGGAGCGAGACTGAAGAGGCATCGCCTGACAAGGAGCCCTCACAGGACGAGGAACCCCTGCAGGACAAGGAGCCCCTGCAGGACGAGGAGCCCTTGCAAGACGAGGAGCCCTTGCAGGACGAGGAGCCCCTGCAGGACGAGGAGCTCTTGCAGGACGAGGAGCCCCTGCAGGACGAGGAGACCCTGCAGGACGAGGAGCCCTTGCAAGACGAGGAGCCCTTGCAGGACGAGGAGCCCGTGCAGGACGAGGAGCTCTTGCAGGACGAGGAGCCCCTGCGGGACGAGGAGACCCTGCAGAATGAGGAGCCCCTGCAGGACGAGGAGCCCTTGCAGGACGAGGAGCCCCTGCAGGACGAGGAGCCCCTGCAGGACGAGGAGCTCTTGCAGGACGAGGAGACCCTGCAGGATGAGGAGCCCCTGCAGGACGAGGAGCCCTTGCAGGACGAGGAGCCCCTGCAGGACGAGGAGCTCTTTCAGGACAAGGAGCCCCTGCAGGATGAGGAGCTCTTGCAGGACGAGGAGCCCATGCAGGACGAGGAGCTCTTGCAGGACGAGGAGCCCCTGCAGGACGAGGAGCTCTTGCAGGACGAGGATCCCCTGCAGGACGAGGAGCTCTTGCAGGACGAGGAGCCCCTGCAGGATGAGGAGCCCTTGCAGGACGAGGAGGCCTTGCAGGACGAGGAGCTCATGCAGGATGAGGAGCCCCTGCACAACGAGGACCCTCTGTACAATGAGAGCTCAGGGGCTAGCAAGGACAACCTGATGGCAGTAGACAGTCTTAAGGACAATGTCACCTTCCAAACAATTCCAGGGAAATTCGAGAATCAGGACTATCCATTTGAAAAACGTCTCCTTTCCCCTCCAGACTCTGGCTTGTACAAGACTCACCTCGAAAATGCCTCTGACACTGATAGATCTGAGGGCCCATCACCCTGGCCCAGATCACCGGGGAATAGTCCCTTAGGGGATGAGATTCCGGTCATGTCCACCTATGATTATGACACAGCTCTTCAATCCAAGGCAGCAGAATGGCATTGCTCACTTAGAGACTTAGAATGTTCAAATATGGACGTTTCATCACAAACACCACCACATTCTGCTGAAGTTCCCTCAGATTCTAATAAGGCTGCCTGCCATGAAAAAGACTCAGACATTTGTAAATAAGAATCTTTCATTCAGGACATAGACATGCTCTAAACTACATTTCTTTAAAGATCACTGCAGGGGAAAACTAAGACCTTCACAACAAGATCTTGAAGGAGACAACATGAATTCCAATCAAGTAGACACTGATGCAAATGGGGGGGGGTTGTGTGTGCACTTGAGGACGATGATTCTAGAAGGGTTAGAAGCCAGACACACTTGCTACCATCCTGTGGGGATGAACCTGCCCTTCAGTGTGAAAGAGAAAGCGGGGAATGTTTTGAGATCATTCCAAGAACCATGCACCATTATTACAAGAGCTTCCAGACAAAACCAGTTCACCAAGAACATCATCGATCAGTTGGGGTAAATATTCAGAGGCGAATCTGTTGCGGTTAGACAAAGATGGTTTTCACTTTCCTTCTCAAATACAAACCCGGAGCGATCTGACGGGAGTTGGCTCTCTGTAAAGAACAGCTTTAGGATGACAAAGACAAGGATGTTCGACTTGATCATCAGAGGGAATTCAAGTGACATTTTTTCATGCATATTGAAGCACTTCAGTGGAAATGCTGGACAGATTTTAATGAATTCTGAATGCACGCTAGCACAACTTTTTGGAGGCTGATTGTGAAACTGCAAAACTGGAAAAATTCCGAGTAATTATAAATGTTTTTAAAGAAGTTATGTTAACAGAGAAGAGGGACCACTTTTTAAAACAAAGTGTAAATTAAAAATCAATTTTCAAGAAAAGAATTGATGATTTCTGTAAAAAAGAAAAAGGTTCTCTGGCATATCCTTGCCTAGCCCTTCCTTGGCATGACTCACCCCACTCTGGGCATCATGAGCTGTGTCCTTCTGTTCATCCTCCTGCTTCTTGACATTTTCTCATCATCCTTCCTGACGCCATCCCCCTTCCCCACTGCTTACCCTCTTAAAGACAGCACTCTTCAAGGGTTTTTGTTTCTTCTTAGTCATTCTTTATGATTCCTTTCCCACCCTCCTTGGACCCCACTGCCTCAACAACCAGCTCTACACAGACACTCCAGACCTGCATGGCAAGCCCTACCTCCATCCCAAACTCCAGACTTGCATTCTCAGCTCTAGTTGCCCAAACCCATGGAGGTCATCTGAGCACCTAATATTCACTGTTTTCTTTTAACAAAATAGTAATAGACTCAGGGTCTCCCTGTATTGCCCAGACTGGTCTTGAACTCTTGGGCTCATGCCTGTAATCCTTGCACTTTGACAGGCTGAAGTCCTCCCACTTTAGCCTGTCAAAGTGCAGGAATTACAGGTTTGAGTCACTGTGCCTGGCCAAATTCATCATTTTCTTTCACAAATATAATCTCATATTTCCTTACTTGGTCAACAGTGTCACAAAATTCACCCAGTAAACCCGGTTAAAATTTCTGACTTAATCTGTCTCTTTCTTTTCATTTCCTATATCTGAGCTGCCTCTAAGCTCTGGGCAGTGGAAGATCCTGAATGTTTATACAGGGGGACATTTAGGCCTGGCAATATGGACAGGGGGCTAGCTAATTTGTGTTAAACCAGTGTTTGCATAGAAAGCATACTGTTTTTACTTACAGGTGTATTTATTTAGGGTAGACTAAGGCGGAAGGTGCTGGAGTTCTGTGGAAGGACCTTAAGATCCCCCTAGTCTACCTGTTGGCATCATCACTAATCCAACAGGATCTAACTCCTCAATAACTCTTAACTTTATTACATCTGTTCTCAATCCCCAAATAAAGCACCTCCCTTGTCTATTGTCTATTGCCTAGATTACTGTGACCTTTAATACTTCTCCTTGCCCCTCATTCACCCCTAAATAATCTTATATCCAACCCATCATGCTCCTGCTCAAAAACTTTTGACGGCTCCTACTGTCTGTATAAAAACCAAATTCCGTAATCTAGACCCACACTACCTTTCCAATTTCATCTCATCACATTATCACTAGAGTGCACATTCTACATTCTGGTTTATGTCATGTAACATCAACCATTTATTTATTTCAGCAAAGCCTTTAAGGCCTTTTCTAGGCCCTCATCAATTTCTCCCCAATTGCTATAATTGTGATTTTGAACTTTCACGAGAATATTTAGGAAGAAGCTCCTCACTCACCTACTCCTTAGCTGTAAACATTCTTATGTGCACATCTACCCTCATTCCTGTCCTCCTATGACCCAAGGCCATGGGTCCATTCATGTTTCTCTTGCTCTTCCAACCTCCCCCTATCTAATAGGTTCTTCCCACAGGATATGTCTGCTCAAGTCTCTTCAATACTAAAATTAAAGAAAATGCCACCCTGCAGTTCCCTCAAAGTTCCACCTTCTTCCCTCGTAGCTAGGTGCCTCAAAGTGATGGTCAGCAGCTCACCATGGCCTCTTCGGCACACTGCAGCCTGGCTTCAGCTCACCTTTCTTTTAACCTGTGCCAGTAGAGATCACCAACAACCTCCAGTTGCCAAGTACAATAGACTTCAGTCTTCACCAAGGAAAACCTCTGCAGCATTCCCCAAAGCTTAACTGAAGGAAGAAGTACAGGCTCCTATCTTTGACCACTGTTGACCACTCCCACCTTGAAACTCATTTTCAGTGGCTTTTGTGATACACCTCTGTAAAGATGAGATACCAGGAGTACACAGATGGCAAGACATACAGATGACTGAAGAGAGTTTAAGGAAGCAATCATTTGCAAAGATGTAGGATTAAAGAAAACTAGCAAGGGAAGATGAAGAACCCATAGGCTAGCAACAGGGGAAAGCCTTGACACATTAGACCTGTAGAGACAAGGCAGGTTGCAGCTGTGAGGTTGCTCAGCAGGAGCCGTGGTCTTTGGCAGACTATAGCCACTAACAGTCCATTTACAACAGAAGGAAGCCAGGGGATGATCACCCCAGCCTCTCTCTTCTCACCCTCCAATCTCCTGGCAGTGCCTCCCAGAGGCTGAACTCTTGAAGCCAGAGGACAAGAGAGGCAGTTGATGTGATCCACAGCAATCAGCCTTCCAGGCCACAGAGCAGGATAAAGGATAGAAAGTGGATTCACAGGGCAAACAGAATATCCAGCACACACTTCCTCCTGATCGTTCTTGCTCTCTTTGATACCATCTCAGGCTCCTTTTCTGAGCCCTCTTTCTACACTCACCTCATATGTTTCTCAGGTCTTTTCACTCAGTTTGCGTTCTCCTTGTGAGCTATCAACCATCATGGTTTCAACCACTAGCTAAGTGCTGATATTTCCCCTTTCTATAACTCTTAGCTTTGAAATCTTTCTGGAACTTTACACTCACATCCAGTTGCATATTAGGTATCTCCATGGGCACTTCAAGCTAAGTGTATACAAAATGAAACACATCAGCTCTCCCTAACCCTCTCCACTCATGGAATCCGATCTTCTGTGTTCTCATCTCATTATCCACCTGGCTGCTCCATCCAGACATTTAAGAGTCATTCTTTTGATGTCTCTCTCCTCCCTTCTTTTATCTAACTCATTGGTCACTAAGTACAGCCAATTCTGGCTCCTAAGTATCTTCCAAACGTATCCCATCCTCTCTGTCCACACTGCCACAGCTTTCACCTTGGCAAGCTTTCACCTTGACACTGTGAGATCTATCGTAACAGTGCTTTCTGTACTTTCTGTATTAGTCATCATCCTCCAGAGAAACAGAATCAATAGGATACATACAGATAGAAAAATACTTATTATGAAGAATTGGCTCATGTAATTATGGAGGCTAAGAGGTTCCATAATCTGTTGTCTATAATATCAAGGACCAGGAAAGCCAGTGGTAGAGTTCCAGTTTAAGCCCAAAGACTTGAGAACCAGGAGAGCCAGTGTTGTAAGTCCCAGTCTGAATCCAGATGTCTGAGAACCAGGAGTGCTGATGTCTAAGAGCAGGAGAAGATAATGTCTCAACTTAAGAAGACAGATGAAAGCCCTCTTTTCTCCACCATTTTGTTCTATTTAGGCCTTCAATGGATGGGGTGCTGTCTGCCCACATAGGTGAGAGCACACCCAGAAACCGTGTTTTACCAGCCATCTGGGCAATCCCTGACCCATTAAGCAGGCACATAAAATTAACCATCACACCTCCCATCCCACCTCCTTTTGCTATTCCCCACACTGTAGCCAGGAGGTGGTTTCTAAAATGCAAATATGATCATGTGGCTTTCCTGAGTAGAACCCATCCATTGGCTATAGGTTTTTCTGTTTCTCTAAAGCTCCACATGTAACCAAAACACAGGTTCAGTCACTCACCACCTGCAGAGTCCAATTAACAAGATTGAGTCTGGTATAAAGAAAGTGACTTTATTCCAAAGCATAGCTTAGGGTAAGAAGTACAGGCTCCTGCCTTTAAGGACATCGCGTCACTTTTGGGGCAGAAAGCAGAGGCTTTTAAGTGGGGATTTGGCATGAATGGCATGCAGGGGAGGGAGCAAGCAGATGTAGGGTCTGCATGACTCGCTATGGTGCTGCATCGACCGAGCTGGCACCATCATGGGCAGAGCTAACTTGTAAGGTGGCCACTGTCTCGAGATCCACTCCAGGTAAGAGAGAGAGCTCTGTCGCAGGGACACTTCAGGTTGTGAATTGACGGTTGTCTGTTGAGGCCATCTCCTGGTGGGACAGTCTCCTGTCTCTGGCACATAGTTGTTATGTTGGTGGAAAAGTAATTACGGTTATTGCCATTACTTTGGCAAACTACTTTTGTGCCAACCTAATAGGTAAGCTTGCCGTGTAGGAAGTGTCTGGTGAGGGGAAGATAAAGGTTATAATTGCATTCCTAATGAGCTAAGTAACAAGTGAGGAACAAGGGGAAAAGGGGAAAGAGAAAAGAAGGAAAAAACAAAGCATAACTCATTTTCTTTCTCTTAAAAAAAAAAAGTGAAGGTACTTGGTTACACACGTCTGCCTGTCTCCCAGCCCTTGCCCATGTTGCCCCTGCCCGAAGCACTTTTTCACAAAAGAGCCCTCCTGTAGCTGATAAGCTCCCACTTAGGTCTCCACTATGTTGTCATCTCTTCAGGGAAGACATCTCGGACCCTAGAGTGATTTAGATTTCCCTATTACAAATTCTGTCATTAAACAGCATTGGCCTCCACATAGGAGAGCTTATCACAAGTAAAATTAAATAATTATTTCTATGATTATTGGTTTAGTGTCTGTCTGCCCTTTTAATACTGTAAGTGACACACAAACAAAAAAAATTGTGTCTGTCTCTCCAAGACTTGGCACTGAGTAGGTTCTTCACACGTGCATTTATTGCATAAATGGAAGAGCAAACTTTTAGTACAGCTCACAAGGACATCGAGCATCTGTCCCTGCTTACTGCCAGGCTTATGCTTTATAGCGCTTTGCCCCATCCTAACATCAAAAGTTCAAGCCAGTGCACCAAACTGCTTGCAGTTACAAACTCACCAGACTATATTATTCCACCATGTCTTGGACCATATTGCTGCCTGCTTTCTGGATGGCACCTCTGGCCTCCCCAGGTCCCGTCTCATCTGCTTGTCAAGTGTCTACTCTTCTTTCAGTAAGCTGTTTATGGATTATGTCCTCCATGAGCATTCTCCCCTTATTCCACCCGAGTAAAATCTACCAATTCCTTCTTCCCTGGGGCCTCCACTCTACTGTGCTGTGTATTATAGAAGGAACAAGGCTTCACATGGCTTTACTGAGATCTGCTGGAGAATCTGCTGTTGGTCAACTTCCAACTTAGGTGAAATGCAGCTTCGCCAACAGTTC